TGTTCACCAAATTATCGTGGCAACGGTCCGAGGATATTGAAAGTTACCCTTGGAACTCCAGACATGGCTGCAGTTATGGGGAGGAGGGAAGAACAGGGGGCCCAAAACACACCCAACTCTCGAGAACCCCACTGACTCAAAGCCCACTCCATGTAGGTACCAAACTCTGTCCCGCAACTCGTGGTCCAAAGTACTAGAGCTCCTCTGACAAAAAACTAATGGTAGTCGACCGAGATACCACTTAGTACCCAAGCGGATTTCTACACCGACAGTATCTAAACTGTTTCTACTCTAATGCTCAAGGACTCCGGCAAATTTCCANAAGAAAGAGCAGAGGGCCTCCGGAACGACGTGTGAGACCCCTACTGAATCCAGGGCTCAAAGTACACCCAAAGCTGGAGAACCCTTCTGGTGCACCAGGTCACTCCATGCAGGTACCGAACTCCGTCACGCAATTCGTGGTCCAAAGTACCAGAGTTCCTCTGACACAAAAACTAATGGTAGTCGACCGAGAAGGGGTCGGCCGAGATACCACTTCCCACCCAAGCGGATTTCTACACCGACAGTATCTAAACTGTTTCTACTCTAATGCTCAAGGACTCCGGCAAATTTCCAGAGTTAAAGTTATGTTTTATATCTAGTCAATGGTATATTATTGCTGTTACAGAGACTTGGCTCACAGCTGATATTTCGGACTCCGAATTGTTTTTATCGGAGATGTCTCTACTCAGAAGCGATCATCCTACCCGTGGTGGTGGTGTTTTACCCTACTTCCGAAACAGTCTTGATGGCGAGCAAATCCACACTCCCGTTTCGACACCTGACACTGTGGTGCAGGTTGAATTTCTCCAAACATGATGATTGGTTGATTGGTGTAGTCTATCGTCCCCATCATCCCCGGAGACGGCCAATGAAACGTCTTTACTAACTATGTCACACACTCTTACACAAAAATTTACCCATGTTCTCCTTATGGGTGATTTCAACTGCCCCAATCTCAATAAATCAGCGACCGTCCGTTCATTTTTCGAACATCATTTCAAACGGCTGATGGACTCGCATCTACTATACAACCATGTGAAGGTAGCCACTAGGTTTGGCAACTTACAGTCACCGTCCATACTGGATCTAGTGTTGACCAATGAGGAGCTGATGGTAGAGTCTGTGAATGTGACTTCCCCCTAGGACGCAACGATCATGCAGTACTTACATTCAAATATGTTTGTTACGCTTCGATTCAAGGAAGTTCCTCTGGTAACACGCGTAGTTCTATAGACTACACACTGTTGAATAACTTGGCGCTCTCTGCTCAGTGGGTTTCATATGACGAAGAATCTAATCCGTTGGTGGCATGGAAGAAATTTATTGACAATCTCACAAATATAATAACATCCGTGACTAAAACTAGAGTAATCACCAAATCCGTCATCCGAAATTCACCTATTCGAAACCG